ATACTTCCACGGTAATAGAACATTTGCTGATGACAGCAACCTATGCGGACAGCATTCAGAAAGGATTTAGCCCATGTCAAGCAAATGGGCTAAGAAATAGATGAATTTTAATGCGGAAAAATGAATAGTGAGGTATAGTGGTCAAAAGAAACATCAAAGCTAATGGCTGGGTATCTATCAATCAAGGTGGGGGAAGGAGAGGATTTGGATGTTACTATAGTGAAGACGCTGACAAGAAGGCTAATCATGTACTGGGTTACATCTCGCCAAAGGTTACTTTTAACCTTGTGTCACTCACTGTAAGACCACAATTAATAGGAGGCAATCATGGGCATGTTACCTTCAGATCAAGATTGATTCACCGGGGCAAGTGTTCAGAGGAGAGGAGCAAGAATGATTCTGGGACTTACCCTGCATATATATTGCGCGGGGACATGATAAATCACTGCGATTTGGCCGGCATTTCACTGTCAGCGCGCAGTTAGTTGTATGTGGAGGAAGTGGATTCATGAACGTTGCGAATCACGTCCATCACGTTTGATCCTAGTAACTGTGAATGGAGTCGAATTCTGCACATCTCTGTTCCCTTGAAAGCTCTTGACAGTCCGTTGGACACCCAAAAATAATCAGGAGATAATGTTTATTAAACAGCCTTGTGATGTAATAAGAGTTTCTTCAATATATATAAAAAAGACACTCATCTCGAATGTGGGTCCCAATACAAAGTGTATCAACCTGGTTCAGTGGGTAGTCCTCTCGCCTCTGAATCAGAAGTTTGTTGGTTCTGGCTCCACGTTGGCACTTTGAACTCATAGTCCAGGCTGACACATCAATGCAGTTTTATCCCTCGCTTTGAGATGTTAAACAGAGGTTCCATCTACCTGTTCAGGTGGATGTTAAAGATCCCAATATTTGAAGAGAAGGGAGTTTATTCTGGCATCCTGGGCTTCCAAATAAAATTGGTAATTTGCTGGATGGCTGTTTTGTGGGACACTGTGGTGCACAAATTGGCTGCTGTGCTCGCCTAACAAGCACAGTCACTACACTTGACAGAGAAGAGCTTTGAGACATCTCAACGACATAAAGCCGCTGTATAAAATGCAAAGCTTACTATTATGAATCAGAATTCCGCTTGCTGCACAGCCCACCGCTGCCAGGAGTGACGTGGATTCTCTCCCAGCACAAGAAACGCAGAGCGAAAAACCTCCCGAGTTACAGAACGAGTCGCACACGACCCGAACTTGCTTTGATTTGAGAACAGATTGAGAAGCCCCGTGACCCAGATCTTCGGAATGCTGAAAGACACTGATCATGTAGATTTAACAGACTATTTCACTATAGACGGTAATTGCAAATCTGGAGAACATGGGTACAAAAATTAACAAGCCTCAAGTGAGACTGGAGATTTGAATTTCTTCTCCCCCCACGGACCATGGAAATTTCATCTGTGGAATTCAGTCAGCGTTAAATAATGTAGATTGCAACACCAGACTGATATCCTGTAGATCTGCTCGATTAACTCTCAGGGTCAGGGAGCCATTCCAGTTTTTCTTTCTCTGGAAGTCTTCCTTGTAGTTACTCAGCCCTAGGAGGAGAATTAAATAAGTTGGGATGTGTGTTTTTCTTAGGATTACAAACGGGGATCTCCCCACAGGATATGAGGGAAATCAAAAGAGATTTCTGTTGGCTGTTTTCATGTATCCTCCAGTGGCTGGTTTGAGAGTATCATTGGCAGATCCACCTTGCCTACGCGTCTCGTCAGTCAGGCAGGAGTACGACGGCGGAGGGTCCTAAAGTAAGTAACCAAATCTCATGCCAGTACATTGCTGCTTCTTGCTGCGTCCAGAGCTAGGAGGCATAAATAGAAGATAGCTAATAGTGGATCTGAGAGGCAATCTAGGAGGAAATTCATTCACACAGACAGCGGCAAAAATGTGGAGCTCAGTTGTCGAAGCAAAAAGCATCAGTAATCATAATAATAAAGCTTGCATTTGATATAGCGCCTTATCACGGCTTCTAGACTTCTCGGAGCGCTTCACATAATATACTGACTGTAAAGTGAATTGATTGCATATCTGTGGGCAAAATATAGGACAGGGGTACGAGGGTGGGGGGGGTGGTGGGAATCACATAGAGATTTCATCAAATGCACAGGATTATCATTCAGCACTTTGGGACGTCCTCCTGACGTGAAATGCCATGTGTGGTTGCTGAAAAACCCGGGAAAAGCGACTTATACTTCACTAAAAGTCATGAAGAAAGTGCGGTCACCACCAGTGACACCATTGCTTGTAAAATCCATCACTTTTTGGTTACCAAAGTGCCCTCAAGCACGCGGTTAGTGGCCTGTGACCTCCAGCCACAATTTCAGAGCGTCTTACTCAATTTCTGCTATCCAAGAGGGAATCGTTTTACAGCGATTGCTCTCAGCCGGAGTCAATATTTACACAACATACGCAGGCCTGAAACTTCAATCAATTAAGCAGCCAAGTTTGTCAGCCACGAAGCCTGGCTGATTTAACTTCTCAGGCTTTAACCCTGCCTTAAATGGTGCTCGCTGCAGTTCTTGACATACACACTTTAAAAAGGTCGTCTCGTTTCCACAGAGCACGTCACTCTTCATCGATCCACCCTAGCAGGAGCCCACAACGTGCGACAAATGTGTTTTATAACCCTTTCCAGATATTATCCGTGAGTTGCAGTCTGTGGACAGGAACCCTATTTATAAGGAGGAAGGGGCTTTCGACCATATGCGCTGAACGTTTTTTTATATATAAGAAACCCTCCACATCCCTTGAGAAAGCCCTCGAACCACTTGGCAATGTTATTCTTGTAACGGGTTCATAGATCGCAAAGTGCAGAGACATGTCGGCAGTTCATGAAGAACGCTGATGGATTTCCAGTGAAACAGATAATTGGCAAATGACTAGATCGATTGTTTTTAACAACTTAATACCTGTCCAAGGTCATTGTTACATCCAACTTGGGATGGTGGACGGCAGGACCACAAATAGTTTTGAGATTCCGCCACACATCGCTTATAAAATAATAATTCTTGCATTTGATATAGCAGGTCATGACGTCCTTGAGATGCCACAAAGCGCATCACAGAATATACTGCAAAGTGAATTGACTGTATATTTTACGGGCGAAACGCGGCAGCCAATTGTCCCACAAATTCAACCGTGGATTGAGTCACCAAATTGTTATTTATTTTGAAGGTGTTATTACCCGTGGAAAAGCAATCCGCCAATCGACTAACCGTGTTTCTATTTACTGCTAGATAAACAGAGGCGTGGAGCGTGAGGAAACTTGCCTAACGTTTCGCCCTGACCGGGAAACGAACCCTGGTCCTCTCGCTTGTGAGGCGAGTGCTCCAACCGCTACGCTACGGGACTCCACAGAAAGTAATTAATTACAAGTTACGTCAACTTTGCCCCACCACATCTACCAGTCTTGTAGCCTGGACTGTGCTGACCCTATCACTCATCGGGCACTTTCTACGCTGATGGGTTCACCGTTGCATCAGCTGGGTGACCTTGGATCAGGGCTGACTGGGTTAGACTGGTAAGGAGAATGGCTTTGATTCTAAAAAGCGTGATCATTTCCAATGGAAAATACAACGGTGACTGTAAGCGCACAAAAAAGTTCCATCCACATAAAATCGACACCAAGTCCTTTGACTCTTGCCTTTCCCTGCAAGTGCGTCTTGAGGTCATAATTAAACTCAAACCTGCTGGTTATCAAAGCCAAATCTCATTTTCTCTCACAATTGGGTGCTACAATGCGATACTGCATTTAAGAGATTATGTGTGATAGTGTAATTTAATAGTACATTAAAGCAGTACGCATGATGTGTCACTAAGCATTACGCAGTCATAAATTTTGACGAGGGCATGTCTGCTTCCACATGAGAACCCAATCAGTTTCCCAATTAACATTTTGAATGGTAAAGACATCTGTTAGTTGGGCATCATTGGTTTGGGGAGCAATTTGTTTAAAAAATATTGAATTTCACATAATCTATCGTGTCCACATCACTGATGGATAGAGGTCAAGGAACTGGGAGTGAAAAACTGGGGGGGTGTTTTCATCGACCAAATACAATCGCCACACTTCACAGTGAATCCTGTGATGCGCTTTGAGATGTCTTCCTGACATGAAAGGCGCTCTATCAAATGTACAGATTATTGTTATTTATAAAATGCTATTTATAACAAACTATGCAGTTAAACGAGTGAAAAGGTGGCTGCACATTGAATCGGAATAGCCAAATAATCAGCACAATGGAGTTCAAAATAGGCTCATTGTAAACAACAAAATTATATTTATATAGCGTCCTTCACGTCGGAAGGACATCCCAAAGCCCTGGACAGTTAAGGGTTTGCACCCGAGCTGGGGATTGGAATCAAGAGGGGTGGGAGGTAATAATAATCCTTGTCTTCGATTTAGCGCCTTATCACATTGTTGAGACGTCTCAAAGCGCTTCACAAAATATACTGTAAAGTGAATTGACTGTGTATTTTGTGGGCGAAACGCGGCAGCCAATTGTGTACAGTAAAGTGTGACTATTGCAGGGAATACATTCTACACGGTACTGACCTGTGGGAATTGTGATCTGAATGGAGTACGCGTTGAAAGGAGATATATTTCTAGCTGCCTTTCCAAACTCCCATCATGTAGAGATACGGGTAAATTAATTTTATGAAAAATACATAGTTCCTCCTGTAAAGTACAGTATTATTCTCAGCAATGATTTGAGACCATCTTTCACTCATATTCTCAATTTCAACATGACTCCAGTAGCTCAGATCTTCTCAGAGTTTAAGCTCAGACTCGGGCTGATAAACATCAAACGAAAATCAATTTTTTTGTGAAGAGGAGTTTGCTGATCTTATGACATTTCCTAAAAAGAATCGAACGGATTGATCGAATCAAGATCTTGTAAGGTGCTCACAAGCACGCGCGCGCACACACACAGAAACGTCCTCAAGAAATAATCTGTTTAAAATATATTTTTAGTATCTCAAGTGTCCAGACAATCACCAGAACAACATAGTTCAAGACAAGTTTGCTTTAGGCTTCAGCTGCTTTGAAAGAGCAATTTAATTACATTATTAGAACGTCTCAAAGGCCTCCGTTAATCAAGACAGGCAAACAAAAAGATTTTATATAATATTCAGAAAATAATTACAAAAAGGCTGAACAGAACACGCTGCCCTGGCAGAACTAAAACCCTGGCATGTTGTGAAGACATTTCCAACTCTCTGCCGAACATATGCTCTTTGATTGAATTGTTGTTGCTGCTGTTACTGTTGCTGTTGCCGTGGTAATGGTGGTTTCGTCCTCCCCATATTGTCCCGATGTTTAGCTGAGCCGCTTTATTACTCTTGAAAGATGTTCCGTTCTTGAAATTGAAGATGAGAGCTTTATCGTTTGACTGGCGGAGTTAACCTCCTTTCCCCAGCAGGCTCTGAAACGAGGAGCGAAAACAAGACGTGAGAAACAAAAGGTACAGTCGAGTAGAAAGAGGTTTGATGTCGATATCAATCAAGTGTTTCTATTGTGCATCTGCATACACAATTTTGCAGCCTCTACTTATCCAGTGTACTCTGTGTGTGTCTCAGTTAAGTGTACAGATTTGTCGGTCTAATGAACTTTTTGCAGTGCTCATTAAGATGGCTACCACTGTTAAGAGAAGCTAAGCTTGCTTCAGGTCTCTGCTGAATGTTTTTCCTAAGATGATGGGTGGGTGATCTGCTTGTTCGTCGAGTGGAATTTTTTCCTTATTTCCATTTGAGAAATTCATACGTTTGGAAATACTGTATACCGGAAGGAAAAAAACATTTCCTTTCATATAACAGTAAGTTTACATTTACCTCCACCCTCTCAATATACTGCCCAGTAATTTCCTATCATTCTAAAAGGCGTTGAGGCTGAGATCAGCTAGTTCAGCACAGATTCAAGTCTACGATTTTCTGGTCCCCTGGACATAGATCTGCAATGGACTATCACACACTAGACCATTAGGGTAGTTGCTTGGCTACAGTCAATAAGAAAGGTTGAGGCCTGAAACTCAACCTTTCTCTGCACCTAAATCGTCCTGACCCAACTGTCCAGCGCCTTGGGACGTCCTCCCGACATGAAAGGCGCTCTGTAAATGAAAGCTTGTTGTTGTTGTTGTCCTCAATTAGCTGACTATCTGGTAACTGCGTTCGCATACCCATTATCCTTCACATAAACAACCCAGCAGCAATCTTTCATTTGCAGCAACAATCCATAGAACCAGAAGTGATACAAACCAATGCTAACCCAATCTGCCCTGTCTACCCAGCAGCATATGTGGCGTGAACCGGCTTACCTGTTTGGCATAGTTAATGCAGTGAACATACTGCTTGGCCAACGCAGAGCAGCTGAGGGTCTGCTGAGGGTTCTTCTGGTAGCAGCGAAGGATGCCCTCCTGGAGATCTGCACAGATGGGTCGTGACTCATATCTCCTGAAAGACGAGAGAAAGAGGAGGGATTGGGTTAGCGCGAACAAGAGGATTATCGCAGGTGGAAGAATAATAGGTCAAGCAGAGGTTTAACACAACCCATCCACCCACACACCCGCGTACACACGCACACCTCACCTCGAAATTCAACACGACTGCAACAGAAGGAACTTTGCAGCACGACACTTAACATTTCGCTTGAACGTCACCTTGGTATTCATTAAGCGTGTTTAGAATGTCAAGCCCTTTGAAACCTGAATTCTGTTCAAATCACAATGAACTGAATGCAACCCCCAGGTTCTGAGTGGGTGTGCACTCAAGTTAGTTTATAAGAGGGAAGATGTTAAACGGAACCGATGTACGCTAATCCTACTGCAGCTCAGCAATCAAATGAGAATCATCCCTTGAAACTCTTGCAGTAACTGTCACAATAGTTAATCCTTCTGCACGGACCGTACCGCCAAGAGATGGTGAACGATGGCCGTGAGGAATGGTGGTGGGGAAGAGGGAACACCTCAAGATTAAATGATAGCCCCTCCATAAATACATGATACCTAAGAGTGTTAAGGTACCAGCGATCTAGGGAATCGGACGGCAATTAGAACATGTGGCGGTTTTTCATTCGTGATTTCATTCGAACCCCATCTCTGTAACCGTTTCTCTGCGCATAAACCATCCTCAATTAGCTGACTATCTTGCAACTGCATTCACATACCCATTATCCTTCAAATAAGAAACCCAATATCTATTTTTCATTTGCGGTAACAATCCTTGGAACTAGAAAACCAACAGTAAATAGAGTGATACAGTTGCATGGAGTTGTATGGTTACATAGAGTGATATGTTTTGCCCACAAAATATAGTCAAGTCACTTTGCAATATATTCTGTGAAGCGCTTTGAGACGACTCGAAGATGTCGAGGGAACGTTGGACCCAACCAATGACAATCACCAGCTGTGTATTCCCGGATAGTATAAAATCCTTACTGAATCCTTAAGTGACTGAGGCAAGGTTTCTGGACCCATTTTAAGATACATAGTAGAAGGGGGTGGGGGTGGATATGATGGAAGGATGAGATCAAATGGGCTGAAAGACTGCAACGTGAGGACCAGTATGACGAGCTAGTGATTACCGGCTGAAAACAGCTGATGTGGGGAACATGAAACTGAGTGTGGAAACACGGAATGGTTTTCCACGACTGTTTGTGGGACGCTGCTGTGCGCAATAGACTGTCGCGCTTCGCCCACAAAGTACACAGTCGCTCCACTTCACAGTATATTCTGGGAAGCGCTTTGAGACGTCTCGAAGACGTGATAAGGCCCTACATCAAATGCGAGGATTATTATAATTTTGGTTTTCAGGAGGTCAGCCAACTGTATCCTAATGTGGCTGGGGTGCTGGTCAATGACCACATAGAAGCAGCTTGTTCTGTTGATGGCAAAGAAAGTGGTTTATAATAATAATAATAATCCTCGCATTTGAAATTGCGCTTTTCACGTCTTCTAGACATCTCAAAGTGCTTCACAGAATATGCTGTAAAGTGAAATGACCGTATATCTGTGGTATGTAGTTCACCTAAATACTAGATGCTCTCTAACCTGGGAAGTATAGCACTTAGAGACCATAGGTTGATTTAACGGAGAATTCCTATTGTGGACTTCAAATGAAGATTCCCTCGTGTGGGTAGAATTGATTGTAATGGAAGCCACTTTAAGCAATTTAACCAACGTTCTGGCCGATGTAATGGGACCCAATTTAAAACTTTGGTTTTCTGCTTTACTCCCAGTCAAAAAGGATTCGACATTACGCTGAATGTGTCGGGAATTCCAAACATTTCTGATATAATGTCAAATCTAAAAATATTCTTACGGCGAAATATTAGTATTTCTCTCACTCTGTACCCATTGAAAGGTTATATTCCACATAAGGCACTGTATCAAATGCAATGATTATATTATTATTCTTTATCTTTTCAATCTCTCATATATTTAAATTGCTCCTTTCACCATTGTCCCTAATTTGTTATAAAAGAATAATGGAATGAGTTGGGTATATTTGTTTATTTTTATGAATATTTTGGAATTAATGTCACGATCAGGAAACTGACCCGAGAGAGTGATGGCGTAAGGGAGCTCAATTGACCGTGATAAAGCTTTCGATTGCATGCAATTGTGAGCAATTTTAATGATAGTTGTCAAAAATAAAGATATACAGAGATTACAGAGCTATTCAGCCGGTTCATATCTATACCCTTGGACATTCCTCCAAGTCATTCCCCCCTCATCAGAACTTAACAACTAGAAATATTGGCTCCCCTTATTGCTCAGTTAGCGAATCCGCTGTCTTGTGTGAAACAGAGCCGCACGGATGCATCCAGCTAGCGAGGCTAGAATTAGGATCACTACATTGGCCTCAGTGTCTCTTCCCCTTATTCCTCTCTCTTGTCTCAACAAGTAGACAAAAAGGAGCCAAGGATCCCACTCCCGATTCTATTCAGCAATCCCTTGTGCAAAAATGTACATGTCTGAACCTCAGTTAGGACAAGATTCCTGACTTGGATCACACACCAAGAATTCCCACTTGCACAATGTACTGGAAGATGGTTGGTACCTGCAAAACGACACCCAAGCATGAACGAGCGCCTTCAGGACATGAACAGAGGAAGAAAAAAGATTTTAAAGATAATTATTTGTAATGCTTTGATTTTTAAATAGCAGTTCGGATGGCGACATAGCTCTTTAAAGTCTCATTGTTAAATACACGATAAATGGACAAATGCTAATGCGAGTTAATGCCTTTCAAACCTAATATATAGGAGGTTGAACTAAATGGCTTCAGGACAGCATTAACTGCAGATCTGGGCTTTGCAGTGCAGCTTTACTTCACTCAGTGTCAACAGCATTGTACAGCTGCAATTCTATGAATGAAAAAAATATATCGAGCTGATAGTCTTCATTGGACACTTCCAAAAGCATCATTTTAAAATATTCCGATCACTTACTTCTAGCAGAAGGATGTTTTACTGTAACTCAGAACCTGTTTGCCAGAAAACGGAGGGATTCCAATCCCTTAGGACATAACTCGACCATTAATAACGCGAGCATTTAAAGTCCAGAACCACTTCGCGTTTTAAATCCTAAACCAATCACTGTTAAAGCAGTCAGCGTATTCTCTTTGTCTGCAACCCTTCAGAAAGCTTGTTCTATTATTCAGACCCTCACCGGGAATGCAGACAAATATTGATCACTTCCCACTTGTTGTTCAGGAATGATGCATGCCTCTTAGTTGTGGGAAAACTGAGAATTAGATTTCTAGTATGGATTACTGTTTCATAACAAGTGACATGTTCTTACGGTGATTCCCCCTGCCCCCCCTTAAATTAAAGCGCTGCATTTCTGTTCCACACGCACGCAGGAAGGCACGCAAAGAAAGCAGCTTTGAATGTTTTGTGTTTGCACGAGTTTAGACATTCATTAGATTGTATGGAGAAGGTCAAAGCTGATTGCATTGGCACGAGCTATACCGCACACTGTACATGATTTGAAAGACATTAACCTTTACTTCTGCGTCAACAAAAGGAAAGAAACAGAATACAAAACAGTGGCATGGGAGTTGAAATTACTTTTGATGCTGCAATGCAGCTTCCCCGCCAAACCCCTCTTCCCCGCCTCCTCCCTCAGTTCTGGAACATGCTTAAGTTTGTTTCATTTGCACAAGACGCAGATAGGTTTACCGGCAAATTAAATCTCAGTTCAGCAATAAAAAATATGGACGATATAACGTGCGTCAAACTGTCAATCACCGAGATTATTCCCACCATCTCAAATAAATTAAAGGATTCTTTAAGCACTATGTGGAATATAGATGGATTAATAAGTGCCTGGGTGCGAGCAAAGGAGGCTATAATGTAATTGAACGATTCACACAATGCAAAAACTTCGCTGGTGCGGTTTATTGACATCATCTGAATCCGGAGATTAAATTATAGGTTTGCATTCAATTTTTTTCAAAAAAAAATAATATAATTTAGATCGCCTGAAAGAAAAAATGCGATTTACTACCATGGCTGTGCAGCGGGGGTTCGGGTCTAAAACGTCCACTGTAATTTCATTACCACATAATAATCGTGTCATGCAATTCACGGGCAGGTATAAATCGGAAAATTATTTTGCGTCACGGATCCTAAATCGCAGGCTTCACACGTGGGATTTATAATTATCAGACTGCCTGGATAGAAGCAACATGGACAGCTCCTGCAGGTTTGCAGGGTTTTGCACCTGCAACTCTGCTTTGCTATTTTACATTTAGTTTCGTTTTGCCCTGCCTCGCTCCCAGTTTCCTTGCTCCACACGCCTCTGTTTACCTAGCAGTGAGTAGGAACCTGGTTGTTAGTCGATTGGCAGATCGCTTTTCCCGGGGATAATAATCACTTAAAAAAAAATAAAAAAAACATTTGTTCACTCAATCCACGACCGTTTGTGGGACACTGTTGTGCGCAATTGGCTGCCGCGTTTCACCCACAAAATACACAAGTCAATTCACTCTACAGTATATTTTGTGAAGTGTTTTGAGACGTCTCAACAACGTGATAAGACGCTACATCAAATGCAAGGATTATTATTATTATTCAAACAGCCCTGCACCTTTCTTCAGCCAAGGATAATCACCAGACCTTTTCCCAAACCTCTGCTAATACTACATTGAGGGAGAGAAACTGCCTCTCATATGTGGAAAAATGCCTTACTTTCAGGGACAGGTTATACTAGCTTCAGGGGTCTCTGAAATGACATGCCCGACAATCCTTCCTTCATTACTGTGACTTAATGCCTTGCTTCTCTCCCCAGTCTTTGTGGACAATACATAATACGTCCTTGGTCACACCTGAAGCTCTTGGATCAATAAGCCTGTCAACTGTTCCATGTTTCTATAAATATTCTTGCATTTAAAATTTGTCAAATTATTGAAAATAGATATCGACAACTGATACACATCAGCGTGCTGCC